CATAAAATAAAAAATTTATATCTTTATGTTTGAAGCCTGAAATGTGGCAAAAGGTTGAAAAGTTCAAGGGGGCCGAATACTTTCGCAAGGCACTGTACATATCTAAATCTATGCATCTATATAGCTGTTAATATGACTGTATTTCACTTTCTTTGTAAACACATTCTGTTAACACCCGAATTGCAGGTGGATTCTGTTTTTTGTTGTGGTCTGTAACTCAAATCCTGCTTAACTAAAAATTAGACACAAGAAGAGTATTATTGGACAATGTTGTGAGGCTCTGGTGGAATTTTTCTGTAAACTGAAGAGTTATAGATGAGACATGTTCCAATGTTAATGCAACACGGAAGATATTATAAATAATGTTGTGCTTTCAGGCTTGTGGTGTATTGGTCGTAAGTGATAAGATTTAATCATTTAATCTCTTTACTGTGCACATTTTAATCCACTTAGTATTGAATATTTAGATCAAATTTTACCACTAAAGGGAAATTTTAGTAGCTAAGCATAAAAAGCAGAGGAGCATAATGCATCTGAAGGTCATAAACTAAATTAATTTAGGAACATAAACATTATGTAAACTGTATGTTGCTGGTATTGGTATTTTAAAGAAAAAATACACACCAATATTCTATTTCTACCTAAACATTTTAAGCATCAAATGTGGTTGACCTTGTGACCATATTACTCTATCTGTATTGCTGTTCAATACATATGACACAAGTTGCCTTGGTTGGCATGACGGCTTAAGTGACCTATTTATGGTATAAGCCTGAGGTCAGGTGTTCAAATCCAGCAATCACTATGAGTTTTCTTTTAACAAAAACATTTCTTTGAAAAACTAAAATAGCAAATATTATGGACACTACAGTATATTGACATTTTTTATATTTCAAAATAACACAACATGTTCGTACTGTATGTACACAGCGCTACCGCAGGTTGAACTGTAGGGCGCAAATCCACCTGAGCCCAAAAGCCCAACATTAAAGTGCATTCGGCTGGCGCTGCACGGTTTTCATCACTCTCTGAGGGAGTGCTGGCTGTAATGAATTAAACCGGTTTCACAGGTATTTTCAAAATTGGAGGGGGCATGTCTTCCACGAAAGACACCTCCCCCCAAGGAAACATGTTTTCTTAGAAAAAGAGATTCACAGCGCGAAACTGTGTCAGTCTTCTGTGTAAAAAAAATCGCTTTAAACACCATTGGTGCTGTTTTTAATAAGTAAAATCATGGGAATCTTCCTGCTGTCAGCAGTATTGTGTATATAAAATTAAAAAAAAACTTGCAGCTAAA